GCTGTAATTCCAGGGCATCCCCAGATCCCACCTTGAGGCTGGCACCCCTAGTGGGAGGGATGCTAGCAGCAGTGACAGGACAGGGTATGTGGATGTCATCCCAGTGTGCTTCTATCACATTCGCTGCTTTCACAATGGGCGTGGCTTTTCTTGCCACTCTTTGGAACCCACCCAGGTTTGCAAAGAAAAAAATGGTACCAGGTGGAGCCAGTGTTAGATTGCACCTTTGGTCTTCTGAGAAGCAACAAGAAGACATGGAAGCAGCCAACTAAGAATATAAAAATAAATAGCTGATTGCTAGTGTTATTAGCAATTTTGGCTTTTTAAAAAAATGACACTTGAGGCTCTCCAGCCATTGAATACTAAATCCCATACTTGTCTGGTGTGATCAGATTTGCAAGGAATAGCAGCATTTTCTTTTCTCCTTTTGTCGCCTTAGTTCTGCCCAGCAAACACAATGGTTATTTCAAGTCTGAGCTTCACTTTGTCAGCTGCAACAAATTATACCACATAGTTGAATTGTTGCCATGGTTGGCAAGTTAGGATCTGTTGCACTATCTGCCTAAGTAGCTTTGAATATTATTATAAGTTTATTAAACCTATATATCTGTTATATTAATGGCTTTTTTCATTCAGTACTCCAAAATCCACAAAGCACTTGATACCCGAATTAGAAGTTTTTATATGCTCAAAGAAATACTGTGGCTAATTGATGCTGGTTCTTAGACCATGACAGATTTTATCCACAATTTCTCACCCACAGTTTCTGGGAATTCAGAAATATCTATCCCTGCGTGCTGATGATCTGTACTTATTTCGAGTCTTATAACACTGGCTAAAAGAGGACTGTGACGTCTGCTCCGTAAGTTCTCTTTGTCTTCTGGATCAGCAGAAAAATTAATCAAATGCACACAAATGGTCATTGGGGGACCTTCTGATTGCTTAAGTTGTACCTTGTATGTACCTTGGATGGTAGTAATTTCTCTTTCATGGGAAGTTAGAAGTATCAGATCGCTGATATCCAGTGTTCAGTGGCCAACAATGCACACTTATTAATGGCAAAATAAGCCTCACTTACTCCTGCAGACTCTCATTGTTCTTTTATCCAAAATAATTTCCTAACTCATTTACAGGTGCTCAGATTTGGTACAGTTGCTAAAGGTTTTGCAACTTTATTTATTCAGGACACATTTTTTAAGCCTGCTGTTCTCAGGTCTACCTTCTCTTCCAGTCTAATTTTTTTTACTTCTTCAGAAGGCAAGGTCCAGGGGCTTCCTGTTGGTTTTTTAGGCAGTGTAGATTTCTAATTAACCTGAATTATACTTTGATGGAATTAAATGGCTAGTTCAGACTCGAAATATAAATCCTGCAGATCTTTCATGGAGAAATGTAATCATAGGATGGAAGTTTCTTTGGCCATGGCCACATCTAGAAATGAAGTTAAGACTAGATTGACTCAAAGCATCAAAATAATATTCCGGGCTTTGACGAATGGCCAGATTATCCAACATGTTATGTGCCATGGACACTATGGGTGTTTACCACATGGGGCAGGGTTGTGTATTTTTCCTCTTGCTGCTGCTGCTGCAATGGGGCTTTCCCTGTAGGTTCCCTGTTCCAATACCTCAGCAATGACCACCACCACCCCATCTGCAGGACCAAAACTTTCCCATTTTTAAAAAAAATCATGAATTGAATATATGATTATGTTACCACAGTCTGTGTATTAGGGTCTTTGAACTTGATCTGTCAATATGAAATAAAAGCTGCATCCATCTGCAGATAATTTGGGAAATCTGCATGCATCTTTTCCAGAGGACATCAAAAGAACTCTATTTACAACAAAAGGCACCATTTGACCCTTTCAGGTAGCCCTCCTCCCCCACCTAGAGACATACCCACCAAGTTGGAGGGGAGGTAAAGAACCTTCTACAGGGGCCTGAGTTTAGAGGAAGAATAAAAATAGCAGCTGAAAAACTGGGAAGACCTCAGGCAATGTCCTCAGTTAGTGGACAGGTTTTTCCTGAACAGCTACCCCCTCCTCCCAGCCATCGCACACTGCCAGGACGGTCATGAATTTGGCCTGGTGATTCTCACTGACAGAGAGGGATGGCAGAAAAGGGGTGGGGAGGAAGAAGGAGGATGTTTCCAAACTTTGCTGTATGCCACCTACTTCTAAATTCCACAAAGGTGCTTCAAGGTCCCCCCCCCCCACAAAAGATAACTGGTGTGCATAGGCATAGCTATAGTCTATGCACCCACAAGAAACGCCTAAAACGTCAAATCTGGAGGAAAACAGCAGCATGAAAGAAATACATGCACAAAGAAAAAGTGTTATCCACTATGAATATCCACAGAACCCAGAATAGTGTCAGATTTCTAAACCCACCACCAAACAAGGACAAGATTGGCAGGGGGGGAAACCCTCCTGAAAAGACTATTTACTTATAACCTATGAGACAGATGTATGAAAAGGAGTGGCTGAGAAACTTTCCGCCTAAATGAGACAGAGTTGCAGACTTAAACAGCTGATACCTCTTGCAGAAACAAACAGGGTACTAAAGGAAGCTATTACCCCCACCAGCACTCTCCTTTCTGGCCCTTCCCCTACTGCATTTGAGACATTGGTCTTCGATCAACAATTCGGTCCTCATACACTGTTTTCAGTTGACAGTTTTATTAAAGTGTTCTGTTAATGGAGAGCCTTTGAGCTTTGTTCCTACAGGCCCCAGAACAAATTAAAAGGCCTGCTGTTTGAACATGCTGAGGTTCCTCTGTGGCAACAGAAAAGAATGTTGATTTATTGCTTACATCCCTGCAGGCAAATCTCAAGCCTTTCATTCATAAACCTTCTGTTGCTAAATCTTGAGTCTGCACGACAGGTTTACCAGAAAAACAAGACTCACACAAGCTTTTGAAAACTATGAATACTCTTAATAAAGTGATATACAGAGATTAGAAGAGTACAAGTCCAGTAGCACCTTAAAGACTAACAAAATTTGTGGTAGGGTATGGAGACTAGAGGAGCTGCGGTGGCTCAAATGGTTAAGACGCTGAACTGCAGGCTGTGGAAGGTCGGTAGTTCAGCAGACCGAGACCTGAGTGCGCCACATGACGGAATGAGCTCCCATCTCTAGTTCCAGCTCCTGCCAACCTAGCAGTTCGAAAGCAAGAAATTGCAAGTAGATAAATAGGTACTTCGGTGGGAAGGTAACAGCATTCCGTGCGCCTTGGTGTTTAGTCATGCCGGCCACAGGACCACGGAAATGTCTTCGGACAGCACTGGCTCTTTGGCTTTGAAACGGAGATGAGCACCGCAACCCTAGAGTCGGATTCGACTGGCTTTCGAGCAAGAGAACTATGGAGACTAAAGTATGTCCAAAGGCCAAGCCTACCTCTATCATCAGCTATCAATGAAGAGATCTCTTTTGGAAATCTACTTTCTTTTCCAGATCTGCCTTCCCACACTGAGGACAAGGCCAGTTTAGAGAGCTCAGCTTTGTGGAACCTTTCTTCAAATAAGCTTTCTTCAAATTCAAATAAATTGAAATACATACATACATACATATATATGCTCCCCACTTCCCCCAAGTTTGATGCACTCATGGCACTGGAAACCATTTTTCCTATGGAACTTCTATCAAATGGGAAAAACATGAGATCAGAATTCACCCTCAACCGTCTTTTCATCGTTTAAGATGGTACGATTCTTACCCTCATGCACTGACCTCCATCTGGACAATCCTTTTTGGATCTCTGTTGAATTTTATTATTTAGTATCCGTTGTAATCTATCTTAAGTGCCTGCATTCTCTCTCATTTTAATGTCATTTTTAGATTTGCCAAGTATACACCATTTATTTTCATCCAGTTAGGAGATAAACACCAAAGAGCTTGGGGTACAAGACAGTTCCACGCTGAACTCTCTCCTCCCAGTGAGTCACTGATCCATTAATGATGCGTGCGCCAAAGCATTTGCTACCAACACATACCAGCAAACACTGAAATAGAAACACCCTCATAGAACCTGTCTGGGCAGCTGGTGACATAGTATTAACCAGATGGCTGGAGCAAAATGCTCAGGAATTTTACCTGCCCTAGAAGTTGAAATCATGGTGAATTCCAGGTGCCAGTTGCCAATCCATGTAGCCTTTCACAATCACTGGTGAACCCAAGAGTACTGAGCAGGAACTCATCATAAAATGCTTGATGGTGGTATGTGATTATGGTAGGGAAGTGCTTACTTAAGTGGATCACATGCATGCAACTGTGAGACTGTCTCAAAAAGATATTCAAAAGAAATTTAATCCTCCAAGACTGGCAGCATGGCACCTCTCCTCATAGTCAATTAAAATTTCAAACTTAACAGATGCCACAGTAGGTAAGTTTATATACAAGCTATAGTTTCATTTTTGGAATTACCACCTCCCTCTTTACAGTCCAGTGCTGAGAAATTCAGTTTGTCTCAGCTAATATTCTTGATCTGTTAATATGAAATAAAAGCTGCATCCATTTGTTTGCCTGTCAAGAGAGAGAGTTGAATTTTTAAAAGGAAAGTGTTTATTCTTCTGCTAACCCCCCCCCCATATAACAGATGTTTGCTTGAACTACACAAGGGACCACTTTCAGAAACAAGGACAAGCCCCATTGTAATCTCTAATGAAATCTGGTATTTGTTTGCTGAAGGATTCACTGGGTGGCTTTTGGCGGATCATTCCAAGTTTCATGTCCAGCACCTGTAAAAATGGGGGTTATTTTCATATAAAATGGAGACTCGTTACAGATATGGGCACACATGCAAGGAAATAAAAACTGTTGTGTACATTTGCTTCTTGAACATAACATATGTCAAAAGCCATCAGACAAGTTAAGTAGAACAAACTATTTTATTGATAAAACAGCTTACAAACTCTGAAAAAGGTGTATTAAAACATACCCAGATATGAAGAATCTCACATTTCTGTTGTAGAAAAACCATGTACAATGGACTGAAATACTATATACACAGTATATTTTTATTAGCCTGTCAACACAGTTAATTCATTCAGAAGACTACTGTACACGTGGTTCTGTAATCTACACTATTTAAAACTGCTCTTAAATTTCTAGTCTGTTATACTTTTTTCAATGCTTAAGTGTTTTTTCTCATGGGCAGGGGCCACAGCTTAGTTGCAGACCATCTACTTGGCATGCAGAAGTCCCAGATTCCATCTCCAACATCTCCAGTCAAGAGGATCAGGTAGTAGGTTCTGTGCACGATCTCTTCCTGACCCTTTGGAGAGCTGCTGCCAGTCAAGAGTAGACAACACTGACTTCCATAGACCAATGGTCTGATTCAGTATTAGGCAGACACCCATTCTTACATTTCCTTCCATTCACATTAACAGAGACAGTTATCAGTGATACCATCCATCCCTGGGGGGCACAACCTGAAGTTTTTAATCTAGGCCTCAAGCTGCTTAATTTTTTAGGAGCATCAGCCCACCACACTTCAGCATCAGCTAGAAGACTGAGGACCCCGAAAAACTAATAAAGCAGCACAAAGACCAAGGACCATTAAGAGTGGGCGAGTGCCACATTGGGGTCTCCGCCTGTTTTTGTGGGCTCCAAGTTGCCTTCTGGCCCTCGTTTCCAGTATTTACAGGGCTCACCCTGATGTCCCTTCCTCCCTCCCATATAGACACAAGCTAGTGCTGTATTTCAGAAATGAAGTTCTATGCGTCACCCCCTGCAGTTAGCATTAGGATGCTTATGGTTCTTATTGCAAACACTAGCCAATTACAACAATGGAAAACTGTGACCATCTGAGAACACAGAAATGTGAAGCATTGAAATCAGTATTTTACACATTCCCCCCCCACACACAAAATCTTGTGCTTTAGGAAACTGATATTTCAAGAACAGATTAAGACTACTTTTCACGCATCAATGCAAATTTTCAGATTGACTTTTGCATTATTAAAATATGCAAATGATTTATTTCAAAAATCTTTTAGAGCGACATTATGCCGCTCCTATTATTTGTATGAATGTAAAAAATAATTGAAATATTAAATAATGGACTCTACATTGAAAAAAAACCAAGCATCTGCTTAACCCTATTTAAAGATGCTCTTCACACCACAGAGTGAGTCAAGCCCTTCTTTGCAGAAGTACAATATCTTTATATATGGCTTGCTCAGCTCTGTGTTATAGGAAAGTGGCAGACTGTGCTCATGGTTTTGCTGGCTCCTGCTCCCACGCTCGCTCAGTTCATTTGACTGCATTGCTACATCAACTTCTGCTTGGCTGGAATTCAGATTCGCCCACAAATGCTAAGCAGAGACATGTACCACAGTCGTAGTCTAAGAGGACCCTCCCCAAAAGTAGGCTTCCAGAGTCTCATTGGAAAGATTAACCCTAAGCAAGCAGCATCTGTTCACTTATGTCTCACTCAGAAGCATGATAACAGCACTGTGCCCACTCTGCTTAGCCAGCTGCAATGAGGTCTGAAATGCAAGGCTTTGTGCATTCGTAAGGGCACCGTGCTTCAAGAGAACCTCAACTGCTTTTGTGTGCCCACCCTTTGCTGCAAGATGTAAAGCCACCAATCCTTCCTCATCAGGATCATTTATGTTTTCTGAATTGACAAGTTCCTCTACAACTTCTTCGTGTCCCTTTTCGGCAGCGAGGTGGAGTGCTGTCCTGTTCAAAGGACCCCTTGCCAGGACATTAGCACCTTCCTCAGTCAGGAGCTTGACAGTGGACAGGTGGCCATTGCGAGCTGCCAGGTGGAGTGCAGTGTGCCCTTCTGCTGTTACTGCTTCGACATCTGCCCCCCGGTTGAGAAGCAGCCTGGAAGTACTGGTGTGGCCAGTTTCAGCGGCTATGTGGAGGGCAGTGTGAAGAGACACATTTCTTATGTTGACACCAGACTGCAGCTCTACAAGTATACGGGCTACTCTATAATGCCCTCTCTGAGCTGCCAGGTGCAATGGGGTTCTTCCATCCGCTGTCTGTGCATTCACATTTACACCTGGCTGCTTGGCCAGAAGTTTTACAATGGGTAGGTGACCCTGCCAGGCAGCATAATGCAAAGGCACCCAGTCGTCCTTTCCTTTCATATCTATGTTAACCCCTCTTCTCAGGAAGATGCGCACTATGTTCTCTTGGCCATGCTGGCAGGCAATGTGGATAGGAGCTCTCCCTTCAAAGTCTACTTCATTCAGCAAGGAATTCTTCTCAAGCAGCATTCTTGTGCTAAACTCATCACCATTCTGGGCAGCAAAGTGCAGGGCTGTCCACTGGTCCTCATCTTTCGCATTCACATTAATTTTCCTTGCCAGAAGCAGTTCCACAATGCTTTTATTCTTTCTTTCTATAGCTACATGGAGGGGAGTAGAGCCTCTCTTGTTGGTCAGATTGGGGTTTGCGTTACACAGGAGAAGCCATTTGACACATTCTTCTTGGCCTGACTCAACTGCCAAATGCAGAAGGCTAGAGTTCCCATCTAAGACAAGATCAACATCCTGAGGCTGAAGGATCTTCATCAGTTTGCCTGTGTCCCCAGATATGATTGCCTCCGTCAGCTTTCTCTTCTGGATATCAGTTGTGCCAATATCTGGAGAAACAAAAAGCAACACCAACATTTCATTATAATCAAATTTCACCATGTATTAGACCTACTGAAAAGATAGAAACTCCAGTTTCTGTTCTCCTTTTCTGGCAATTTCAGCACAAATCCAGAAATGCAATCCTGCCCCGCCCCCCGGCATAAATACAAGTGTCAGCATACCCCATCTGGATTGATATACTCATGCTGTGGGCAACCAGCATATCAGTTTCTGTGATGCATAGCTTTCATTTGACTTACTGGGATCACATGCACTGAATTAGTACACGCGGTCACATACAAATCTAGACTAGTAGGCTTTTAATGACAGTACTTTGAGCACTTAAGTCCTATTTAATTTCAAAGGAAAAATGAGCAGCAAATGTGTGTCTAGCATCTTGTGGGAGTCTCTGAACACACCCTGTTAAATAAATATCCTAGTCCTAACTACAAGTAAACACTTAAGGGTCAATTCACATAATCAAGTGTTCATTCATGTGACATGACCCAAATGACATTCACAAGGACAATGCAACAAGAGACGGTTCAGAACTTATTCTTGCAAATGTGTTTCTGACCATGAAAGTCACTGAGAAATGTACCTAATGCCCAGGCCACACAAATATTCTATGGAGTAGTGTACCCTGGCAAATGGTTAAGATATACTACACAGTATTTCATGTTATTTAAAATACTCAGATATTTTGAACATGTGAACCCATTCTTAGGCACTTAGTTTTAGAATCATGGTGTCCATCAATTGGATGGACAAGTGGATGAAATCAGAGAGCTGTTTTGTGACTATGGGGCTCAGTCAAGATCCTGGCTCACCAGCTCCTGGAAAGCCTCTGAAACATGAGCTCTCCCCAAAGAGGTGATGAGCAGTGACTGACATGCATCTGAGTGAACACTCTGCCATGCTACAACCTGTCATCAGGCCCCCCCAAAAAAAGTCCTTTGGATCAGCCCAGTTACTTCCACTCACTTTCTCAAAATGGTCGTCCAAATCCATTCATAGCGAAATGTGTTTGAATATAAGACATGAAGACACTTATATTTTGGGCTGGGGGAAACCATCTTCCAAGCCTTGCCTTGTACAATCATAAAATACTTACCACTTCCAGAATTCTCTCTCTCAAACGACAGTGACAGGGAACCTCGTGAAGAAAATGCCGAGTCCACAGAGGACACCCCGGAAAGCCTCTTGTCGCTGGAAGCAAGCCTGGATTCAGAAGCACTGCGGCTGAGCTCTTCAGGCTCTTCCGTCTGTGAAATTCCTGAATCCAGCTGGGACAACAACTCTGAGAGACTAAAATCCTTAGCTGATGTGGGATCAGACTCTTGTTTTAGCTGGCATAACACAGACATCTTCTGAAAGTGGTGGGGGAAGATATGAGGGGGAAAAGAAACATTCACATTTTAGGAAGAGTCCAATATTGGCTTTTCAAATGTTTGTCAGGATAAAGGCAAGTTCCCTTTCCTATTTCATATACTGTTCAAATGCATACCTTGGAGTACAACTCCTCCTGAGTATTCTTTGTATCCTCCACAACTATCATCTCCTTATTTTCATGTTCTGGTTGTTCATAAAGATCTTCTGTCTCAGAAGTGATTTCTTAAAGAAACATAAAGAAAGAGATGGTCACAAAAGATGCATGGCTGCAGTACCTGTGAACGGTTCCCATCCAACACAATTTCCTTTTAAACAGAGTCTTACATGACTCTACATAAAAGATTAGTAGCTCTGTGCTTGGAGAAGGGCAATAGAGTGGAGACTCTGCCTCCTTCTTGGAAGTTGGGTCAACCACTCCTCTGCATAACACGGCTTAATTTCAAGTGGCAGATACATGTCCTTGATCAAAATGCAAAACATGAGGTACAACACCTCCTCCTCTCATATATTCCCCAAATATTCTTCACTTCCTCTATGCAAGTGGAGAAATTGTGTACAGTAAATATCATATTATGTAACCATAAAACCTAGTGAACTAGAAGTATGCCAGTTACACAACTGAACAGGAGATGTAGCCTTTTGCAAATTTAGTCACAAGGAGGAAAGTGGGAAGATCTGTAGGTGTACTGGATGGGGAAAAAATGTCTCCTCCCTGCCAGGACTGGAATTCCTCCACTACCAGTCTTTTCTGGTTATTTTTAGCAGAAACTGTCAGATTTAGCATTTGCATTAAAAATAAATGAAATTAAAGCTAATGTTCTTGGGGATTCTAGATGCACAGGCCACACTGCATTTTCTACTGCATATTCAACACTACGCTGGTTTTAAGAGTCTTTAATATGTACAGCTGTTAACAAGCTGTAAAGAGTTGATCAACGTATAACTGCTGTGAGTGAATGCATGGCACTGAGGACACAAAAGAAATAAGACATCTAATGTTTTGCCTTGCGTTAAATCCAGCACACCTAGGACATATGGATGAGAAAGTTCACCCGAGGCAGCAATTTGGGGGGTTAAGCTGGATCTGTACTTCTTTTAACATCTACATCAACACCCAATCATGTTCAGACACGTTCTCTTCTGATGCCTTCCCTGTAGCAAGGAAGTGCCCCGCTCTGTTGCCTGAACATGACAGTGGATTGTGTGTGTGCATAAATCAATTTACAAGATTTTGGTGGAGTACCATGAGGGATTACTATAGCCTTAAACACTGAACTGACTCACTACATGGCCAACTAGTTGGATCCAAAAAAAAGTTTACCTTGAAATGTTGGTCTCTTGCTAGGGTCATCCTGCCAGCACTTCTGCATCAGTTTGATCAAATTATCACATGCATGAGGTCTGGATTTGGGGAGAGCTGGCAGTTCTGGACGGTGACCATTAACTACTTTCACCATAATATGTAGAATGTTATTGTCTTCTGCAAAGGAAAAGTACAAGTTTGAATTCTCTCTCTCGGAATTATACTCACTAACACAGCAGTTCAAGGCATCTGCTCGTCCCCATTATGATTCCTCTCGCCACACTTCCCCCAGGTAAACATACATTTTAGCCATCTCAGAACCAAACAACATGCAATACTGGGAGTTCCAGGGCCAGAATGTGTTTCCCTTTCAGCACAGTGCAGGGATGCAGTCTGGATCAGGACCATGGTGTAAAGAAGGATTGTGTTTAACTTTCTATCACCTGGCACCATTTTGGTAATCTGCAACAGCCCTGGAGCCCTAGGTATTTCTCCTAGAGCAAACAGTAGGGGCACAGAGAGGAAGGGTGAAAGAAATCCCTTTCCGCCTGGTCACAACCTGAATCGGGGCCCCATATCGCTTTGAACTCCCAATGCCATACCTAGTTTGGCCCTTAATAAGCCATTTATTGAATTTTCAGAATAATATGTTCAACTTTTACCGAAAGATGGCGATAGGGCATTCTATTTTCTCAACCTGCTTGCTTTTTCAAGAGTCTGAGTAGATATACTTCAAAAATACCAGGGAGAACAATATGCTACTTAATGTGACACAAGAACCAATGACTGCAAAGTGGACATTAATTCACCAGTATTCAACATTAGTGATAGGTAATAATAATGAATAAATATTAACAAGACTTCTGATAACCAACTTCAGTGGTGACAAAGAAACCTGCCCTATCTTTCCTCTTCATCCCTCCTTGTAGCAGAGATGTATCCTACTGCATTTTCCCTGTGGGTGGGTTATCACCATGCTCAAGATCCATTACTGGCTACTGACCCAGAGGCTACTGGTGATGTGCCAGAAGACATGTGACTTACACATGTCAACTTACTTTATCAAACTCTGCATAAGCGTCTTTCTATAGTCCATTTGTTCTTTGACTGCAGCACCGAATAGATTTCAATTACTTGGCTGATTATTAAGGAACAAATGGATCCAAGGCTTGGGATCTGCCTTACAGTAGGAGATTTATCTAAGTGGCCTTTTAGTGCCTTACAATGCATGTATAAATGACAGCTGGGATTTCCTCATAGAATCAAAGAGTTGGAAGAGATGTCCAGGGTCATCTAATCCAACCCCCTGCACAATGCAGGAAATCCACAAATACCTCCCCCCCACACACACATCCCCCCAGTGACCTCTGTTCTATGCTCAGAAGATAACAAAAAACCTCCAAGATCTCCAGCCAAACTTGAAAGGCACAGATGTTAATTTAAGAAACTGTTACAGATACACATTTGCCATTATGAAAATTGGTATACTAAATGCAGATCATGACAAGTTCACTAAAACACACATGCTTATCTGGGAGAAACATGTTATACATCATTTCAAGTACGACTAAAGTAAATGTGAATTTACTAGCTTACCTGAAAATGGCTTCTTCTGTGTGAGGACTCCCCAAATAACAATGGAAAAACTGTTAAGAGAAACATTTACAGTTAGACTGTCAGCTGCCTAGCCATGCTGCTCATCAGAAATAAATTTTAAGAGTGAACACAAGTCTTAGCAACATGAGAACTGCCAAGATTGATCAAGTCCAACACAGTATTTCCAATGCTAGCTATACACAAAGTATGACAGTTATGTTTACCCTGAGTATTCCTGACACTGAGATTCAGTTTAACTGTCACTGCTGTAAGGCACTGGTGAAACAATCCTCTATGGATTTTTAAAGCCACATGAGCTAGGGAATCATTGCCTTATCTTGCTATATGAATTTCATAATTGTGTGCAGAAGTATTCTTGGCTGTCCTAATCTATAACTAATGCATTTCACTGATTAGAATATACTATAGATCCCAGAAAAGGGTATTATACATCTGTTGTGCTACACCCTTTCCTCTACAACCAACAAGCTATGGTTCTAATGGAAATGCCTTAAAACAAACAAATTAATTACGTTGAAGGCAGTGTCACTTGCCAACTGCCAATTAATATCAAGGGGCATCCATATACTATACCTTCCCAGTTTGTAGTCAGCCAACTAGATTGCATTTGTTGAGCCCTGAAAGAACCACTGTAACAGCATTGTGACTTTGTAGCCTGTATTCTACCACTCCACTAAGCAAAACCTAAAGCATTTTTCCAGCCCATGGAGTCTTCTTCCAACTTAAGTGGCTCTTCCTCCAATGCCAAGTAAGTTGGGGAAAGGTTCCTTAAGCTGGAGGAATTTTCCTCAGCCTCAAATAGGTTACTGCCCAGTGCTTTGAACACCTCACATTAGCATGTTAAACCTGATGGCATTGGGTAAGGCACAGGATAAGAATAGTAACTATGTTCTAATATTACTCCCTCTAAACAATATAGACATATCTCCCAATAAGGATAGCTGAGTGTGAGTATAAGGAGAAAGTTCAACATATGTGCCAAATACACTTCAACACAATCAGTATATTCTGCACTAAATTCACAGTGGCTCCCAGAGTTCTCTTCAACTATACTGGGTTTACACACTGTTGTTATTGATACTAGAATGTAATAAAATATTTTAAGAAACAAGATTGACTGCTAAATTCTTGAACAAGGGTTCTCCAGGCATTTCAAGATGCACTAACAGGACACTTGTAGAAAAGTTACTGACCTGTAGACATCATGCTTAGTGTCAAAATATCTGGTCTTCTCTTTAATGCGTTCAGGAGGCAGGTATGCAATAGTACCACAAAGTCCATCCATGCTGAGATTGTGAGAATGATTAAGTCCATTGCACTTGGCTAATCCAAAATCAGAAATCTTGCAAGAGAAAGCCACACATGCAAAAGCATTTTAGAACCTTTATTTTTGAGATACTCCATTTTACTACATTATTCTGGTAAGTTCTCAAATTATAGTTTACACTTCTCTCAAGGAAATACATTTGGAGATTCTAGGAAAGGCATTTTTGAAGCTTAGATTATAAAATAAAGTCAAGCAGATTTTGTTATTAACTTTATATGTATTTTAAATTATTTTAATTAACTTTTATATGTATTTTACTCTGTAATAATTCAATATCTGTTCTTCTAACTGGAGTGTTTTAACATCTATTCCTTCAAAATGATTTGCTGTGTGAACTTCTATCTGGTTGTGGACCGCAATAAATTATTCATTCATTCAAAAATCTGTGTAAAATTATACAAAACAAACACTGGTCAAAACCAGTTCTAACTACAGGAGACAATTTTCCACAAAATTTTGTTCAAAAATACTTTTGTTTGGCTAAACAAAACGATATACTTATGCCAACAATACTTACACCTCAAGACACTATGGAGAGGTGTGAGGTATGTGGCATTACTTGCATCACCAAGACTTTTCACAATGCATATGCAGCCTCAAGACTGCAACTTTCAGCTGAAATCAGCACTTAAATAAATCTATGGATTTAATATATAACATGAACATCCAATAGGGTTGCCAAACCATCACCACCACCACCCCCGGTTTGCCAGGGGTCCCCTGTTTTGGGAGGGTTCTACCCGCCCCCAACACCCACAGCCACTCCTCTCCCTTCTCCCTTGAGAGAGAGGGGTGGCTGCCTTTAAGTGCGTGGAACCCGTGTTTCCTCCCAAGCCCGATCTCCGCTTGAGATCAGGCTTGCAGGGAAATGCCAGCTTTGTGCACTTAAAAGGGAAACGCCGGCTCTTTGCTCTTAAAGGGGAAATACCAGCTTGTGCACTTAAAAGGGAAACACCAGCTCCTTTAAGTGCAGGGAACTGGTGTTTCTGGATGCACATACACCAAAAAAATGCCCTCAAAGTTCCCCGCTGGGGGCAGAACATGGACTTGGCAACCCTAACATCCAATAAAAATTAAAGAAAACACAGATTATCAGGAGATAATTATACCCCACTTTTCTCCACAATGGGTACCCAAAGTGGATTACATTATTCCGTTTTATCCATCCCTTTTATCCTCAAAACCACCCTGTAACGCAGACTAAGCTGAGAGTGTGTATAACTGGCCCAAGGACACCCAGCAGGTTTCCATGGCAGAGCAGGGATTCAAATCTGGCCCTTCATCCAGATCCTAGTCCAACACTAACTGCTACACCACCCTGGCAACCCTCCAAAGTGGCCATTTTCTCCAGGGGAACTGATTCTCTGCAGTCTGGAGATCAGTTGTAATTCCAGGAAAACCCCAGGCCCCACCTGGAGGAGGAATGAAAAGAAGCATTTAAGTCAGGAGCATCTGTTCTGGGTCTTATTCACTGAGAAAAAAGTTCTGCTTTGAGTCTCAGTGAAAAAAGGTTGTCTGTAAATGAAGTAAATAAACAAACTGATGTTGAATTAAGCATGTAAAGTATAGATTTATGTGCTAACTGGCCAGAGTCACCTATAAAATTAATGTTTTGTCCCTCCAAGTAATATAAACATACATTTTTTTTAAAAGGAATGAAAAGAAGCATTTAACAGATGGGTCAGTTGAATGGTTTCATGAAGATGTTAATCAAGCATGATAAATAACAAGCTCTCCCACAGAAGCTAGAATAATACTTGTGTACCCATGAAGTAATGAAAACAAACACACCTACACAGAAACATAGCTAGAGAGAGTAAAAGCAACACCTTTGAAGTGCATACAATTAAAAGCTCACATCCACATGCACTGCATTTATGTTTTCACATTAACATTACTTTTCCTCCCAGTTTACGCACACTCTATGCAGTGGTCTCATCATCAGGGGAGTTACTGCTATATGCCTCTTAGCCATTGTGCAGAGGCATGGGATTCGATATTCTGTATCTTGAGAACCCGAGATCTCTCCACAAGTTTAGTTGACTAGTGCAGGGAGATCCCATAACAGTTCCTTGTCTTTTTAGGGGGAACACTTTTCTTTTTATTCATGGGATATGTACAAAAATGATGACTAATTTACTTTATATACATATTTATGTTTTGTGGATAAAATAAATTAAAATGGAATGTGGCACAAAGAGAAAGAAGAAAAGGAATGAAGGAATAACAAGGAGAGAAACTGAAGTTACTGGCAACTTCTGATCAAGGATAACTTTATTTTGATTTGTAACCTGCTAACTGAGGATAGGTAACATTTAACAAGCACATACCAGCATGAATGCTGCCATCCAAAAAAACATTATGGGATAGATAATAAGCACAATGTTCAAAAAAAGCCTGTATTACGTGTGTGTATGTGGGGAGAATGAATCAATAAATACAATTTTATTTAATACTGAACTTGGCTTCAGAATACAGAGCAAAACACCTGCACAGTGTGACCAAATACAGGAGGGAGAAATGTTTCTACAAATCTGGGGGAACCCTCAGGTTTGCATAAAAATACCAAAAAAAAAAAAAATTAAAAATGGAGAGGTGATGTCTTTAAGTAGAGCTATTACAATTCAAATAAAAAAGTCAAACCTGGCTTAAGACAGCTTGGCATTCAGTGCTCCGATAAGCCTGTTCCTGCCAAATAACTGGCTAATGAGGGCAGAGAGGGGGCTGCATTCAGAGCAGGAAGTGTCCCCTACTTGCTCTGTTATATTTTTTAGTTTACAATGGAAACACCAACCCTGTAACAGCCTCCAAGCCCCCTGAACAAGGTTTTTGTTTTATATACAACAGGAACTAAAGTAACTGACAAAAATAGTCAGATATATAGTGCTGGGAAAAAGGAAAAGAGATGAAATCTTACGCAGTCACTGCTGAACTAAATTCAGGTATACCTTTAACTCGACATATTGTTGAAGGAGCGCTACTGTAGAAATGACAAAGTAATCAGCTAAACCATGAACTTGTGGCCTTGGGCAAGCCACTTTTCTCCCAAAGCCGCCTTCACCGTTAAGATTACTGTAAAAACACATGAAGCACTTGTGGAAAGGCAGGTATAAATATGGCTATTATTGCCACTGGAGCTTGCTTATAATCTGACTGCTGGAAGGCGTATACTGGATCCAGAAATCAAAATTAGGAGGGGGAAGGCCAAATACTCCCTGCTCCCATTGTCTACCAGATGTCAGAAGTAAAATGTTAAAAAAATTATTCTAAGTCATAACATATCAGACTCAGGGTATGGTCTGAAACAAATACTTGATTTTTAATTCTTGATAATTTATGTACTTGGAAGTCAGCTGCGCTTAAATAAGCATAGATCCTGGTGGTCAACTGTGTTGCTCTGAAGCAGTAGAACAAAAGTAGAGTCCAATGGCACCTTTAAGATCAACAAAGTTCTGTTCAAGGTATGAGGTTTTGTGTACATTGGAAGGAAGGTAAGGTTCTTAAATTAGCATGTTGCCCTTAGGCAAATTAATGTACCTTTTTCCTATACTTTTTTTGCAGTTTGAGCTGAAAATGAATTGTATACTAACCAGGGACAATAATGCCCCAGTTTCAAAACCCAATTACTGAACTCATTCACTTTCTTTTCATGACCACTAGGCAATTCTAGTCCACAAGCCACAAATCTATATTTTATGAATGTCTTGTTGCTCTTTCATCAGAGCACAGTCAGGACTAGAGCTGTCCAGAATATAAAGATTTTCCAGCAATTGAAGCTGAGAGAGCTATGCTTTCAAAGGCTTCTGACACCTTAGCAAACTGGGTTTTTGTGGGTTTGAAAGTAGATGCTTTAAAGCACATTTCCAACACTGTGGGTTGGAAGGTTTTGTGGGTTTGAAAGTAGATGCTTCAAAGCACATTTCCAACACTGTGGGTGAGGGTCAGTCATACAGCTGCTACTATCATCAGTGGGAATCAGAAAATATGAAGAAAGTGGAGGGGGGGGGACTTAAAAGAAGAGCTTTTATGCCTAGCTTCCAAGAGCCTGCTTCTTGCACACCTTATGCAGCGACACAGTAAAACTGAATTAAATGCACCAGCTCAGATTTTGAGGGATTCTCCTAGTGTTAAATCTTTACAGTAATCTCTAATCTTATGCATCAATGCAATTTACTTTCTACAGTTTAACTCACAGCACTGTCTAGAATCTAGTGTATAGAACAAGCAGTGAAAGTAGAAATTTCAGAACAGTTCTAATTCTAAACCTGATGTTGCATGATAAACAAATATTAATTTTCTGGAAAAGTGTACTTGGATCATAATTTCAGGCTTCTCTATGCAAGACAGAGACAGCAAGTGAGACCTGAATGAAGGAATGCATCACACCTGAGTCAGATGCTCAGACAATCTTAATTCTGCCAGCCAGTAATTCAACATCTCAGAGTTCTTTCCAAGTCACATTAGCCAACATCATATCAAGCTGGAGAAGCCAAGGGAGCACGTAGCCCAGATTTTAAGACTGTCTCAAAGTGGAGGCACACACTAAATAATCTACTTTCAATCCACTTTTCAACTGGAATTTACTGTGTGTACTGGCAAAATCCAGTTGGAAAGTGCATTGGAAGTGGATTGATAGTGGATTATTTAGTGTATGTGACTACAGATGGAGATCAACAGATTTATATCAGACTAGCTTCTCTTCCTCTCACAATGCAGGCAACCATTCATAAAGCTTAAAGATTTATCTGAAAGTGAGCAGTGACTCACAAAAGCTCATACCTTACCACAAATTTTGTTAGTCTTTAAGGTGCTACTGGACTCTTACTCTTTTTCTACTGCTACAGACAGACTAACATGGCTACCCAGACTTCTGGTTTCGGCGTTCACCATGGCGGCCACTTTCTCCCGGTGTTCCGGGAGACGGCTGCCAGAGCCCACGGTAGGGAGGGGGTGTGTGACTGTGCACGCCACCCCTGGAGCCCTTATGTTGGGCTCCGAGACATGGGGCACTAGAGAGCTCTTCCTCCGGCGACCCTGCCGGCGAAGGGGGGCTTCTCCATGCCCCGAAGGTCCTGCTGCGGAGCGTCCCAAATGGGAATTAGAAATCGCACACTGGAACAAGCGTTTGGTGGCTGAGCAAATTGAAAATGAAAGCGGATTTATCATTGAAATGTGAGTTAACGTTTAAGCGAAAAACACCAAAGACTGAGCCTAAAACCTTTGAAAGCGGGGGGGGGGGACTCTCCCCCGTTACGAAAAACCAAGCAAACCTTAAGCTACTACGAAAAGGGGGGTGGGCTAATGAAGCAAGATGGACTGAAATAAAAAGCATTTAAGAACTTACCAGGCTGATTTAAGAGTACCAGAGACTGTGATAACTTTTTACAAAAAGTAAACAATTTCCCAAACATGGCGCCCACGAGGAAGGATGAGAAAGACAAGCAAGTAAAACCTACACTTCTTTCTGGAACTGCCAGCCCAGCGAGTTCTGTGCCTAGACAGGACACAACTACAGAGCTGCAAAAGATGCTGGAACAAGTCACAGCACTGCATCACAAGTTCGATGCACAGCAAACCCAATTAACTGAGATAGCAAAAAAACCCAGAAAAAACTGAACAAGAGAAAGAGGTGGATGCCAATACTAAGAAGCTTAAAAAACAACTGCAGGCAATGGGGGAAAAAGAGACTGATGGAGGAGTCTCATGTGTTACAGCTACAAATAGAAAGAGCAAACTATGTCTTAAGATTTCAAGGTGTTCTGGAAGAGAAGGGAGAGAATCTGAAACAGACTATGTGTGATCTATTAGGCCCTATGGCAGATATAAAAACTGATATACTACAAAGCGAAATTGATAAGATCTATAGGTTATATCCAGAATTTACAAGAAAGAATAATCTGCCAGGGGAAGTTATAATAAGATTCTCCAGACGCCAAGTGAGAGATCAAATCCTCAAACCGACAAATGGATCTACCTTAAAAATCAAAGACAAAGAAATAAAAGTGTTGCAGGCAGGGGTCGTTTCATAGAAAAAGAGCTAGGGGAACTCATTAGCATAACTCATTAGCATATGCCACACCCCCTGACATCACCGGA